TCTGTGTCTGATTTAAAGCAGGCCGAATGCTAACGAGCCTTAACTGACAAAAATGACCATAATTTGCACGATGGAAGAATTATCGTCTTGTCGTATACAACCATTCCAAAACTCGGCAGAATTTATTTGACCGCTGCACCTGATGTTCATAAACTTTCATAACTGGTAAGTGTTTTTTCTTTTGCCTTGTGAACTGGCCAATGATTCATGATTCTGTTTCTTTACATGTATTTGCTTACTGACCGTTGCATGCAATCGTGAAATACATTTAAATTGGAAATTGGCTATTCGTTGTGAAAAAAAAAAGATTTCGGGTTCCGGCTCTAAATTTAACTGCCGCTCGGGTCGGACGATCTTGGGTACGGGCTGGGTTCGGGCTTCACTTTAAAGCCCGTGCAGACCTCTAATTTAAATATATGCAACCTAAAATACGCATTATAGACTAAAGTCTCAAATCCAAAGAGATATTCTTTATAAAAGTCAAAGAGTTAACCACGCCTACCTAAAACGGCTCGTTCTAACACATCCCCACATATCTACGTCACGATGTGGTAAGATGTGCATAACACCGCTCAAATGTTCACACAAAGAAAGGCGACGTAACTTTTATTCTTGCTGTAATATTGTTGCCGCTGCAGCCATGTCGTTTTTAACCAGAAAGCCTCAAAAATTCCCTAAAATATCAGTAAATTGCTACACTATCATTATCTTGGTCCATTTGTAGTAAGTAAGTTTTATTTATAGAGCACATTTAAAATTCAGCGTTACACTGACCAAAGTGCTGAACAAAACCAATAATAAAACACAGTAAATTCTAAAATAAAGTAAATTTTAAAAAACAATAATAAAAAAAATTGTAATATCGGCAATAACAACAGTTTCACATTCAATTAATAGCCCGGAAAGGCGAGAGAGTAAAAATGTGTCATAAGTCTGGACTTGAAAATAGAAACAGAAGAAGCACTCCTAATGTCAGGTGGCAACTGATTCCACAAACGTGCAGCAGCTACTGCAAAGGCTCTGTCTCCTTTTAATTTAAGTAGGGCTGGACGATATGGCCATTACACCAAATACACCAAATAATGTTCTTTTTAGCAGCATTATTTAGCACCCCTTTAAAGCCCGTGCAGACCTCTAGCTTGCAGCAACCACATGTGACGACCCCGGGCTGGACTCCGCTTCGTCCACGGTGAAAGCCGATCCGGTGTTGTGCCGAATTCTGCACCCCTGCCAGATTATGCAAAGTTGATGTATTCCCTCAGCGACCAGCACGGATCAGCTCTAGGCATGACGAAGCGGATATCGTCCTCTTTTGGAAGGCCAACCAAGTAAAGTAAGTTTTATTTATAGCGCACATTTAAAATTCAGCGTTACACTGACCAAAGTGCTTAACAAAATCAATAATAAAATACAGTAAATTCTAAAATAAAGTACAATTTAAAAAACAATAATAAAAAAATTGTAATATCGGCAATAACCAGTCGGTTCCCTTCAGAGATACATTCATATAAAACACCCGCGCCGTGTTATGATTTTGAAACGTGCAGTGCTCATGTTTATTCAACGAAGTCAAACGGCACAAATAAATAAATGTATGGAAAACTGGTAATGTATATCGAAATATCGGAAATGTGTTTAAAAATCATATCACCGTTATTGAAAAAAATTATATCGCGATACATATTGATATTGATTTATTGTCCAGCCCTAAATTTAAGTAGTGACCGAGGGACATGTAATAGAGCTTTATTAGCGGATCTGAGAGGAACCAAAGTAGTTTCGGTTACACAACGAATCACACAGCGCCTTCACGACATGGCGGCGGCAACAACAATACTACAGCGAGAATAAAAGTTACGCCTTCTTTCTTTGCGTGAACATTTGGGCAGCGTTATGCAAATCTTCCCACATCGTGACGTAGACATGTGGGGGCGTGTTAGAACGAGCCGTTTTAGGTAGGCGTGGTTGACTCTTAACTTTTATGAAGAGTATCTGTTTGGATTTGAGACTTTAGTCTTTGCAACTTTACAGATCTTCTTTATGCACCAAGAGCTTGTAACACTCCAAAGAGAAAGGAAAAATTGAAATCGCATCATATGACCCCTTTAAAGTGATCATTGCCTTAGATTAAAAAAAACAAAAAAACAAGTATAATGACCAAAGGTTTCTTTTTGTCTTATGTTTATTGTCATAGTGTCTACAATTTATCATCTATGGAATAAATAAAAGAAACCAACAAACAGTTACACAGTCTTAAATGAACATAAAACATAATGGAATGTTATGGCAGAACATTTAAAAGAGCATAGATTTATAACGCTAATTCTCAAAAGACAATATATAGAATATTTGAATGTTCTGCACAATATATTGATCATTTGGCCATATAAAATCACTATTGCTTTAAGGCACGTATAATAACCATACAGAACTTATGACACAAGGAAAAATGGATGGAATATTTATCACAGAACAAAAGTGAAGATGATCAAAATGTAAATATTTTGTTTTGGTGACTAACACACATCCATCTGCAAAACAGAGTTGGGTCAGAATTATATGTAATTAATAATTCCAGGGCGGAATATATTTTGGATTTGACTTTGGTCACTGTATTTGGCAGAGGGATGAACTGTGCATGGAATCAAGTGCTGCAGTACAGAATACAAGAGCAATGGCAAGATGTGCTGTTATTTAGCAGCTTTAAGACATATTAAAGATCTACTGCCATGAACATCTTAAGGCTTCTTAATTGCTTGTATGCATTTTACTAATTCTTTGGTCTATTATTCTAATGAGTCCATCAGATAAGGAATTGATGTACTCTAGAAATCTGTAAAAATGTCACATCTGACCGGCGGTTTTTAAAGTGATGTCTGTGCGTGTCAGCAATCATACAAAATACAATTATTTGGAAACAACTGAAGTTGGGATTGACCAAAACTGGTGAACACGTTAAGACACTGTCTCCCCTCTCGTAAACTCAAACTCTGCTGTTTTTATATCTATTAAATTTGTATATCTTTACTTTCTATCTATGGCAAACATTTCTGCACATACTGACAGTGCTCCCAAAAAACTGGCCAAAAACCTGGTTGCATCTTGCACATCTCTAGAGACGCTCGCTATGTTTCAGTTAACAGGCCTAACAAAAGTTGATCATCCCTACTAGAGAGCCTCATATAAGACTGTTGTGATGAACAGCAGAAGCTCACAGAAGGACAAAAAAAATAAACATTTATGAATAAAACAAGGAGATAAACCTGATTTCAATAAAACAACATTACGGTCACATTCACAACAGTCTTTAACTGAATGGTCCACTGTATTGTGTCCACTGGACTGAACTTGATGTTCAAAACACAGTCACAGGTCTGAGGGATCATAGGCACAGGGTGTGGAACTGGAGTTATAACTGCAAAAAAAAAAGATATGGCTTTCGAGTCTGGAGTACCTATGAAACAATCCTTCATCTCCGTAAACAAAATTCATTATCCAGCAAAAATGCATCTTGCACATCTCTAGAGATGCTACGTTTCAGTTAACAGGCCTAACAAAAGTTGATCATCCCCACTAGAGAGCCTCATATAAGACTGTTGTGATGAACAGCAGAAGCTCACAGAAGGACAAAAAAAATAAACATTTATGAATAAAACAAGGAGATAAACCTGATTTCAATAAAACAACATTACGGTCACATTCACAACAGTCTTTAACTGAATGGTCCACTGTATTGTGTCCACTGGACTGAACTTGATGTTCAAAACACAGTCACAGGTCTGAGGGATCATAGGCACAGGGTGTGGAACTGGAGTTATAACTGCAAAAAAAAAAGATATGGCTTTCGAGTCTGGAGTACCTATGAAACAATCCTTCATCTCCGTAAACAAAATTCATTATCCAGCAAAAATGCATCTTGCACATCTCTAGAGACGCTCGCTATGTTTCAGTTAACAGGCCTAACAAAAGTTGATCATCCCCACTAGAGAGCCTCATATAAGACTGTTGTGATGAACAGCAGAAGCTCACAGAAGGACAAAAAAAATAAACATTTATGAATAAAACAAGGAGATAAACCTGATTTCAATAAAACAACATTACTGTCACATTCACAACAGTCTTTAACTGAATGGTCCACTGTATTGTGTCCACTGGACTGAACTTGATGTTCAAAACAGTCACAGGTCTGAGGGATCATAGGCACAGGGTGTGTGTACTTGTGTGTTCAGTTGTTTACTCGGTTGAACATTTCAATCCTAATCTCCATCTCTATCCATTGCTCCATTCCATGCATGCTCAAGACTGGAAGGTGCAGACGTGCGGTTCAGGCTTGAGTGTTGGCTTATTCTCAAAGAAGTCTGGGTAATCCGGCTTCCTTGGTTCAGCTTCCTTTAGAGCCGATGTTTGTTTATTCTTTTTTGTGATCCTCGGGCGGATCGTCCAGGTCCAAACCGGGTTCTGCCACGCAGCAATAACACAGCTTCTGTGTTTGCAATGAAATTGTGTCTGAAAAAAGAAAAAGATGAAAGATGAGTACTGTATGTGAAAATCATTCAGAATATTAAATATTTGGCTTACTTGAAAACATCTTAACGGGTCCATATGTCAAAGATCAAAATGGTATAGATTAACTAGTCTAACTGCTCTAAAAACTTGAGGCTGAAGTTGTTTTTTTATGATGATTCTAATTCAAACAATTAACATTTCTAAAAGCATAGTGACACTTTACATTACATGTCCATTTTATACACAATGAATAGAACTGTCAATTTAATTTTAGTTAAAATAAATAAAAATTTTAAAATAACATTCATTTTAAATGAAAAAAACAACGTTATCAATATAACTTTTGAGTTTTTTTTTATTAAAATGAATAAGCCTGCTCAGGTGAGAAAAAGTAAAGTAAAAGTAACGTAATTCATTACTTTCCATAAAAAGTAATGAAGCCAGTTACTTTTTCATGGAGGTACACATTGTAATGGATTACTTTTAAAAGTAACTTTCCCCAACATTGACAATGATGATAATAATAATACTAATACACAGTTTGAAGAAATTTGAGTGTGAAGAACCACTTTGATGTTTTTGAGAATTCAGTCAGCGCACGTTTCAAATTTAGCACATCATGCAATTCTAGTAAAATTTGATTTGCTTTAAAAAGTTTAACTGACAACAGCCCTAACAATTAAAATAGTAACTTTTTTTTTCAGTTTCAGTTTTTATAGTCTGAAGAAAATGAGTGATGCTTGCCTGTGGAAGTTTTACAACCTTAATAGTAGGGTGTTCTAATGGCGCTTTTCCACTGCATGGTACGGCACGGTAAAAAGTTTTTTAGGAGTCGCGGCAATAGAGGCGGCGCAACTATAACGACATGTGAATAATCCCGCCCACTCTAAAGCGGTACTGAACTGCAGTGGAAACGCAAACCGAGCCATGCTGTGTCGTACTGTACTGAGCCATGCCGAGTCGTACCACGCAGTGGAAAAGCGCCATAAGTAGTTGCAGAGACACTGTTATATGGTTGCTAGGGTGTTCCAGGTCGTTGCTAGGTGGTTGTTTACAGGGCTCAGACCAAAGAACCCACACCCGAGTTTCTGTGACATTCTTTCCCTAATAGTCTGTATTAAACACTTTAGCTGAGTTTTATTACTCCATACAACTACATCATAAGCACTGTAAAGTATGACCAAAAATCTATGGAAAATGACTGAAATCTCCTGTTTCATAACAGCGAATTCATCTTGGGCTCAAATTTATTACACATCACCACAATTATGTATATATGCAACAAAACCCCTAGAAGGCAAACAGAACCTGGGTGTAGCACCCAGGAGAATGTTTCAAAGTAAAAACACTTCCTACGGCCTGCAGCAGAAACCAGAGCCGTGCAGGTACCCAGCTGAACTAATAGAAGCGAGACAAGAGAAACGTGAGGCCCTTGCGTGTTTGTGTGCTCACTCACCGAGCATGTGTCCCAGAAAGGCGGGTCTGGAGCTGGGCGGGAGGTGCAGACATATGTAATACACAGGAGCCCCGGAGAGAGCGACGATGATTCCCACCAGAGAGTTTATAGTGTCACTGTAGAGCGGTACAACCACCAGAAACACACTGCACAGGCAGTACACTATAGGGAAGAACAGACTCAACTACACGGAAACAAACACACAGAGTCAATTAAGCACATCATAAACCGGGGCAATAACGAAATAAAAATGTAAACTTTGTTGCAAGTATTAAATATATGACATTGGTTATTATCTGAAGCATTTTAAGGCACCATAAATGCACTTCTGATGTGAAGGCTGTTCTATAAGATAAGAAACATTATCCTTCTTTCTTAGATACTTTATCTTGACTAAGTATCACAAATATCCTTTAGAGAGAGACAGATATAGAGATAGAGAGGAAGAAAGAGAGAGAGAGAAAGCCCTTTTGTCAGCAGCTTTGGTTCCAGTACTTTTCCCATAAAGTTTTTCCCATAGGAATTTAAAAAAAAATCTTTGAAACCAACCAGCTATAAGAGAATTCACATGGCTTTAATGAGGGAAAGAGCATTGTGAATGACAAATCAAAATAATAACAACAGATAAATATAAAGCTATCCAATTAAAGATGTTAATTATGTACATAGAAACAAAATATTTTTCATTTAATTGCATATTTATAAATATAGAGTAGTAGTTTGAGAGACTACTGAAACAGGCACCAAAGAGTCATCCTGGCTGATTTGCTTGTCATGATTCTCTGATTGGTGGAGATTTTCTCTACAGAATCATGGGTAATGTAGTTTTTTTAAAGCATGTACAACTGATTAACAACCTCATAGCTCAGGTCTTCAAGTTTACAAGTAATTCTTAAAGGGTTAGTTCACCCAAAAATGAAAATTGTGTCATTAATTACTCACCCTCATGTTATTCCAAACCCATAACACCGTGTCCTAACTACACGCGACGCGACAAGATTCCAGCGACAAACAATTTGGCTGTCCACAACAAACGTGACACGACAATGCGACACCACAGAATCAATCAAATATCACAGCCAATCAGAAGCGTGTGTGGGCGGGCTCTCTCTGGAAGTGCACTGCACTCACAACGAAATGGATAAGTTTATAATCTAATTCCTAAATAGTAAACCTTTTTAACATTATTAAATGTACATACTGAGTGACTGATACCATCTTTGTTATGGAATACGCTTGTTGGTTCACACCGAGTTCGCAGTTTTAACGTAATGTTTGCTTTAATTTATTTTCAAGATCTGCGGAGACTATCTGTTGTTGCTTTCAGTATGGCTATAAGGTCACACAAAATGATATTCAAACTCACATTAGACAATTTTTAACATTGAATAAAGCACATAATCAGTACCTGAGATTACTGTAATATAGTTTGTATTTTGTTGTTCCAGCCGCGACTTCGCAAAAATAGAAACAGTTTCTAAAATTTGAAATTTTGCGTGTCGCCGTCGCAGCTATTTAGGACAAAACCTGATTAAAATGGAAAAGATACCTTTTATCATGTGTCGGGGCATCACGTCGCATGTAGTTAGGACACTGTGTAAGACCTTCGTTCATCTTTGCAACACAAATTAAGATTTTTGATGAAATCTGAGAGCTTTCTGACCCTCCATAGACAGCAATGCAACTGACACGTTCAAGGCCCAGAAAGGTAGTAAGGACCACTGATGTCACATGGACTATTTTAACAATGTCCTTACTACCTTTCTAGGCCTTGAACGTGGTAGTTGCGTTGCTGTCTATGGAGGGTCAGAAAGCTCTCGGATTTCATCAAAAATATCTTCATTTGTCTAAGTCTACCATCGAGAAAATGAATTGTGAGTTGAAAATCTCCTTCACACGAGGTGTGCTAGTACTAGGAGTGTGTACATGGAGACAATTCAGAATCAGTCAATTCTAATGGTTAGTATTACACAGGTAGTGGGTATTAGCACAGTAGCTTTGGGTTTGTAACAGCTATTGACTTACCTTAACAGGACGGGGCAGGTCAGGTGCTTTAAAGCGCAGGTAGATCTGACTGCCTACAGAAAGGCCGATGAACAGCCAGTAATTAAAACTGAAGTAATTAATTAGCTGGAACACGTCTTTCACACAGAGAAATATGAGTGACATGCCACCCTATGGGAGGAGGAAAAAAAGCAGATCATACAGATTGAAGCGTCCTGTTTTTAGTATATAACATGGATATTCTAAATTTTCTACACAGTACAGGCATGTCTCAGCCTGCTTACTCACATTAAACAGCAGGGCTGGAATTGGCGTGTAGCGTTTGACATGGATCATACAGAGGACATTGGGTAAATGGCCCTCACGCGAACCCACAAAGAATAGCCTAAAAGGAAAAAAAGGATTTGGCTAAGAAACTGAATTCCTACCACCATGCATCGACTCATCAAACAACAGAAGACTCAGAACAAGATCTTTACCTGGATGCGGCAATGATAGAGGAGTTTAAACCTCCATAACATGAGATGGCCACAGACAGCGGGATGAGCCAGCTAGCATATCCCAGCACATAGTCAGCAAACGTCTGTGTATTATTAATAATAATAATAATAATTTATTGTCATTGCTGTAAGAACAACGAGATTACATTAGAGCATCAATCGACAGTGCAATTTCATAAGTGCAAATGCGTAGGAATGTAAACAGTGACATAATAAGGTCCAACATTATTAGCCATAGTACAGTATGTCACAGGACAATACGACATTGGTAAGGAATAGTGTATAAGACAGAGAAACAGTAGTAACCAGAAACATGCGTATTGTTGTGTGTGCTGCAGCAATGCAAAGTCCAGTTCACAGTATTAAAAGCATTAATGTATTAGACATAAAAGCAAGTGTTTTTTTTTTCATTATGACCAATAACCAATAAATGGCTGACACTCTATACTAGTTTGTCTAAATAATTAAATTAAACACTAAAATGAGCCAATTTAAATGCTACAAGTGAATTTAGAGATCACAATATAACACAATGTACAGTATTTTGTTTATATTTTAACACTACAACTGTAAAATTACAATACTAATATTAACAACTCTCTTATATATTTTTTAAACCAACAAGCTTTTTACTTTGGTGGAAAATTGCTTCTCTTAAAGCTTAAAGGGGTCATATGATGCGATTAAAATTTTTCCTTTCTCTTTGGAGTGTTACAAGCTCTTGGTGCATAAAGAAGATCTGTAAAGTTGCAAAGACTAAAGTCTCAAATCCAAAGAGATATTCTTTATAAAAGTTGAGTCAACCACGCCTACCTAAAACGGCTCGTTCTAACACGCCCCCACATGTCTACGTCACGATGTGGGAAGATTTGCATAACGCCGCCCAAATGTTTATTTACAACACTGTTCCAGAACAGTTCAACCCAAATATTCAGATGTGTGCAGCACATTTTATGGAGGACTGTTTATTGGGAGAGTAGCCTACAATGCCAGTGTCTGTTTCTATCAAGTGGGGCAATTCCAACTTTGCAAGGACAGTCTGGCACTTCATGACTCACAGCCTGTAAGTACGTTTTTATATTAAAAGAATTTGCCACTGACGATTCAAACGCGAGTTTTGAGCAGTGTAGAGTAGCGCTTGTTTGCTGTTTCTCCGATCACAAATGCTGACATGGTTTTATGTTTACGCAGCGCGATACACAACGCAACGCGCAAAAAGACAGTATAAGTCATTATAATCAGTAATTATGTCCCCACTGGATGCAACAAATGCCTCATTTATAATGGGTTTTATTGGTTTTGTCTCGTCGCGCCGGGACACAGCATCACAGTATGGTAGGGCCGTAACATTTCCGTCACACGCTTGAGGTATTCGGCCAATCACAACGCACTGGATAGCTGGCCAATCAGAGCACACCTCGCTTTTCAGAACGATGAGCTTTGTAAAAATCTACGCGTTTCAGAAAGGCGGGGCATAGAGGAGAAACAATAATGTACAGTATGTGGAAAATGTATTTTCTGAACCTTAAACTGCATAAACTCATTGCATTACACCAAATACACAAAATAATGTTCTTTTTAGCAACGTCATATGACCCCTTTAAAGCTTCTCTTCTGTTGTCAACCGCCGGTTTATAAGCACTTCACATTGTTTAGGAAAATGATCAGTGTAAGCTGTGCTCCCAAATGCAGAAGTGAACCAGACTCACAGCAGATGTAGAGATTAGTTCATGTGGAGCAGAAGTTATTGCAAACCATTCTGAGACACTGAACAAAAAACTCAGAGCTGCTCATGTACAAATGAACACAGTGCCACGCTTCACAGTGATAGATGCAACGCATGTATTGATTTAATTAAATTGCAGCCTTTGAGACTAGACAACCTCACTAAGCAATATCGCAATTTTGTTTTATTTTTTTTTGTTTTGATTAATTGTGCAGCTGGTTAAGCTAATGTTGTTGTGTTAGATGCTCAAACAAACAGAGCAATGTTTTGGAAGAATCTACAGTTGTCTCTGCATACAAAAATGTAACAGCACCCAGCAGAAACAAAACAGTGCTTCAAACACAGTAAACACAGTTTGTTGGCCATTAAAACTTCTACAGAGCAGCATACTAGCATAATTACAGGCAGCAGAGCTTCTGTGGTTGTGGACTAATGTCATCGAGCATCTCTAGAGAGAGGACATTGCCTCAAGCTGCTCTGCTTAACCAGATCAGTGTAACAGGAGATGAAAACATGATCAAATCTGGAGCAAATAAACTAAACAGACGCGGTCCATTAACTTCCATGTGACATCCAAGATCATGTGGGTTAAAAATAAGCTTTGCTACAGTAGCTTGAGATATTCAGATATCAATGTATCTTTTTTATCATAAAATTCAGCTCCCAAGAAATGTTTTACTCACCACAGCCACAGCTTCACTCTGTAGCAGTGTATTCATGTCCAGCACTGCATAATAGGCGATATTAGTCAGGATGTAGATTATTGTGACAATAGGCATGGAGATCGCTATAGACAATGGCAGGTTCCTGTAGAAGAGAAAGACAGATTTTGCTTACATACTACATCTTCCTGATTGATTTGCAACAAAACTGTTGGACATTCATTCAAGATGAAGTGTGAAATTTCTGCACCAAAAAGGATTGTAAAGATGATGACTGTTTTTTCCAAACACACCCCCAGTTTGCCACTGGTCAGTAAAACCGATAGTCCCGCCCCAAATTAATGCCATTGGTTGAGCCAATTTGATTCAATTGCTTAAATGAATTGAGCAATGTTTTGAAAGTACTATAGCATAAACTTTTCAGGGCAATCAACCTACATATGGCTTACTTATAGTTATCTCTGCATATTAAGCCGGGACATGAGAAATACTTTATTATTATTGATTCTTACTCATGATGAGTGGAGCATGTCCGAACGGCGCCGCTGGTGTGCCTACACTCATAGAAAATAATGTATTTGAATTTTAAAGACACGACGCGACGCTGCGCTTCTCGTCCGGTGTGCGACCGCCTGAAAAGCTGTTTTTTTTTTCACCTCCGTGCCCAAACGTCTTTGGGCTTCCAAAAGCGGATGATATCAGGAAACAGTGGTTGCAATTTATTTTTTAACTCTGTTCCTGAGCATTATAACTCCAATTTGCTATTGTGTGCTGCGCATTTTACTGAGGACAGCTTCCACAACACGAGGGAGTACAGTGCCGGATTCACCCAAAAGTTTTGTTGAAAGACGGAGCAAGGGGCGCGGCAGTAATGAAACACTGTCTAAGCTGTTCGCCAATCACAACGCACCGGGACAGCTAACCAATCACAACACATTTTGTTTTTCGGAAGGCGGACCTTCATCAAAGCCGGAACTAATCGAGCCGTTTGTGCCAGGATGGGGAGAAAGGTATTTTAATAATGTAAATTATGTGAAAAATAATGCGTTTTTCGAACCACCAAGCATGAGAGCATGTTCTAGTACACCCCCAAAACAAAATCAAGACTTTGTAAAAGAGCATAATAGGACCCCTTTAAGTAAAATGTCATGAGTATTAGTACCTCTCTGGGTTTTTAATCTCCTCTGTGACGAAGTTCAGGGTGTCCCAGCCTGAGTATGAGTACAGAGCGGCATACAGAGCCAGAGCCATGTTTCCTGGATCCAGTTTAGAGTTCTCAAACGAATCCCTAAAGTTGTCCGTTTTTCCTGTGGCACAGCAATGCAGATGCAGTCAAATGTCAAAAACAAACGGTAACAACTCACAAAAATATAAATGTGTAGCACTACTGTATAGGGTCGGTATTTTTTTTTAAATATCTCATTCTCACCAAGGCTGCATTTATTTGATTAAAAATACAGTAAAAACAGTAATATTGTAAAATATTATTACAATTTAAAATAACTGTTTTCTACTTTAATCTATTTTAAAATGTAATTTATTCCTGTGATGCAAAGCTGAATTTTCAGCATCATTACTCCAGTCTTTAGTGTCACATGATCCTTCAGAAATCATTCTAATATGCTGATTTGCTGCTCAAGAAACATTTCTCATTATTATCAATGTTTTTTGAGCTGCTTAAAGGGTTAGTTCAGTCAAAAATGAAAATCCTAGGATGACTTGAGGGTGAGTAATTTATGGGCTAATTTTCCTTTTGGGTGAACTAACCCTTTAATGTTGGAAAGCATGATGTATTTTTTCAGGATTCGTTGATGAATAGAAAACAACAGCATTTATTTGAAATATAATTTTTGGTAATATTATAAATGGATACAATTAACTATCATGTTGATCAATTAAATGTGTCTTTGCTCAGTAAAACTATTTAATTCTTTAAAAAAAATTTTTTTTTTTTAAGTTTAAAACCCCCAAAATTTAAACTGTAATATGGTATAAGGTATATATAATAAACAACACGTGTGTCAGTATGTTCAAACCTTGGGCCAGCACAATCATTCCAGCAATGATAATGACTATGAGAGCCAGGACTTTAGCCACAGTAGAGATGACCTGAAGAATGGCCCCCCATTTCACCTTCATGCAGTTCACAAAGGTGAGAAGACCTGCAAAGGAAACAGAGACAGACATGCCCATATAAAAGCCAGACAATGCGTATACCGAATATACTTCAACTGCTGTTTGCAACTGTTACTTCTTAATGTCCATTTTGATCATGTGTGTAATAGTTCCATAGCTGCATTGTGCAATTGTGTTCCATTATAACTACTATGACTATTCCCTTGTAGATGAACGTAAATTTCCAATGTGTCGTATTTAGTTTCACTGACAGGTTGTCCAGGGCTATAAAATTAGGCTGCGTGTGAGTTTTTTTTCAGAACAGAGTAAACCCTCAACTCCTGCTTCTGCTGTTTTACTGACAGGTAATTCAAGTTCCTCCATTCATCGGATACTGCAGTGAACACTCCTGGCATCTAATTTCACCAACAAACCAAGTCTGACAGTAATTCACTCCTCGATAAACAGTCTCTCAGAACTGCAGATACCATCGTGACTGGACGTCCTGGCGCTGTGATACCCAGGAGATTAATTGAGGTATTTCTGTTCCAGATTTAATCTCAGTTCAAATGCCACCTCATTCTGATGAAACTGTACAGACCAGGTCCAAATAAAGTGCCATTTGTCACTAAATGGAAATTAAACCCTGTAGAATTACACCGTTATATAAGCTTGCATAAGCTTTGTGGTTCAGGCCTGTTTGCTAAGTATTTGGGTGGACTTTGCCGCAGTAAGTAGCAAAACATGCCACAGGTGACAAATACCCAAGAATTCCCTTGAACTCAAACAAACTGCGCATGATCTGTGGAAACAGTCACCAGTGACTTCATAAAAAGGTCTCGTGGAGGTCTTGGCAGGGTTACGGACTCCAGTCCAAATGGAAAGCATTTGGTTGACATAAATAAAATGTCTAAATAATGCCAACCAACACTGACAGGAATGGAGAGAACAGCTTGGCAGCCGCAGTGGAATTAACAGCTGAACTAACAGAAAACACTTGCTTAATTTATAAAGACAGTATTCACTTCATTTTAACAAATTACAAGGACAAAGTACAAGTTTATGCAAAGTAGTATGAGTATGTACTTTAGGCAAATGAAAATGTTGACAGTTTGTTCACACAGCAGTGCAGACTCACCTGCTGGACTGTGTAATTTTAACAAGTTAATATTGAAACTAGGGCTGCACGATAAATCGAAATGGAATCGAGATCGCGATTCGACAGAAGCTGCGATTGTCATGCGTATCATTCAGTGAAGCACGGTTCTGTGATCAGCAGTAAATCTCCATCCAAAGGCCAGAGGGCGCGCCATCTGAAAGCCCGTGATGATAATTTTCTGCTGATTACAGAACCAGCATTACTATCAAAATGCGCATGACAATCGCATTCGATTAATCGTGCAGCCCTAATTGAAACTACACAATCTAACAGCCGAGTCCACAGAGGTAGTTCACCCAAAAATGTAATTAAGTAAATTTGTACTTTCTGATAAAGGAAAAAGAAAGTTCCCGGATTTAACTCAGTGGAAAAGAGACTTTTGCACTTTTTATCATTGCAACTTGCAAAGGTTGTTTTAGTATGAAGAAAATCAAAAGGAGTAAAAAGAAAACAAATTTCCTCCCAAAAATGAACAAATAAAAAAAGGAAATGAATAAAATAACATTGCAGAGAAAATTGCACCATGAGCACCATGGTGCACATTCATTCAATTTAAAAATTAATTTTAAATTGTTTAAGTTTCAGTCATTTTGTTTTATGCTTTTTAATTATTTTTATTTTTACTTAGCTTTCATTTTTTTAATTTCCGTTTTAGTTATTTTAATAATTATTGCATTATTATTATTGCATTTCAATTAGTTACCAAAGCACATTTTCATTTGTTTATTAAGTTAAAGTTTATCATCTAATAATAACATTTTATTTTTATGAATGAAAACAACTTTTAAAAGTTTCAATTTTAACAGTAACTAACAACACTGATTCACAAATGTTGTGTACATGAAGTTACTATTACACTATATGTATTTTCTATTTTGTATGGGGACTGTAAGGCAACCATACAAACTAAACAAATTATGTAAATAAAGGTATGCAGATCAATACCATGATCTGTTACGATCAACAGGTAGCGGCATAAATTGGTATGATTTATTTTTGACATAAGTTAACATGAAGTGCTCTTTTCGGAGTAATCTCATACACACTGCGCTGTGTGAACAGTAAACAGTAGTGAATCCCCAGGAAAGCCAGCCTTTATTGTGCCACTATTTACATTAGTTTCAAGTGCTGCTACATGTGTGTTTATCAAAGCATGCATGAGTGCAAGAGCACTTACCTATAATGATAGCCGCTATGAGCCGTACTGCATGATTTGGTGCCGGGCAGGTGGGGAAGAACGGTTTCACTAGGTAATTAGCAAAAGTAAGAGCAATGACCGCCTGGCAGGCCGGTTCCACGATCATCAGTGAGGTCCACAGACGGATGAATGCAAGGAAGCCCCCAAAGGTCTCCAGGATGTAGGCATAACTAGCTCCCGACTTGCGAATGGTTGTGCCCAGCTCAGCGTAGCACAGGGCGCCAAAAACAGAGAAGATTCCTCCAATAACCCAAACCACCAGAGACAGACCATAAGATCCTGTTTTCTCCAGAACACCAATGGGAGAAACAAAGATGCCCGAGCCAATCATGTTCCCCACGATGAGACAGACGCCATGGAGTAGTGAGATCTCCTGCTTTAGACGCATGGAGCTGGTGGAGTCGGCGTCCCCCATGATGAACTCAACTCAAGAGGCAGGGGTACTACAAAAATCAAGAATCAGGAATGTGACGTCAGACCATCAACCACACAAGAGTCTGTACACATCAAACCTGGAGTTTCAGCCAAGTCTCATCGTTGTTTTCTTTCCGTCTCAAATCTGGAAGGTGATAAGAGAGATAAAACACAGTTAATGGAATGTTGTAGGTTTAATACAATTGTGCCAGCATCTGTGGCATGTTGTTCACAACACAAAACAATTTAGAATCGTTCAAAAAAAAAAAAAAGTAGCTTAATCGCTCCAACATCAATGCTAACAAGCCCTCTTGAAGAACAAGTTCTTTAATTGAGCCTCAGTTGTTTTGCCCACACCTGCTGCCCAGGATGCCACAGAGCAAGTGCAGTGACGTCAGGAGGAAACCAGTACAATGTGAGAAGAGAACCAGGCAACGCTTAGTTGGGTGCGGTCATCAACTACAGCCTGCTGAACTAACTGCTTTTAGAGATAAATCTACTAGCGATAAAGACTTTCACTGAACAGTAAAACTATGTGGGGGGAACATGCTCATTTGAACAGCATGACAATGTTATACACCAAAAGAATTGTAAAGAGAACTGAAAACTTGTAAAAGAACTGAAAGCTTGTAAAAGTCATATATTTTTAAGTATGACTTAAAGGGGTCATATGACGTTGCTAAAAAGCACATTATGTTGTGTATTTGGTGTAATGCAATGTGTTTATGCAGTTTAAGGTAAAAAAAAAACACAATTTTCTACATAATGTACATTATTGTTGCTCCTCTATGCCCCGCCTTTCTGAAACGTGTCGATTTTTACAAAGCTCATCAGTCTGAAAAGCAAGGTGTACGCTGATTGGCCAGCTATCCAGTGCATTGTGATTGGCCGAATACCTCAAGCGTGTGATG